GTAGTAAGTAGTGGAAAGTGTTGCACACATTTAATGTTTGTACTCTATAGGTATTTCATAGATAATTTTATGATAAAAAGTTATTCAGTTCATAGATTTTGTGTGAATAAGGATTTGTCCAGTGGAAAGCACTRTTCAYCTTTCATACAACYRGCCCCTGGTTTCAGCAAATCGATTCCCACTGTAAAACAATTTTGATAGTTATGTTTCCTTGACAGTGTCCACTATTTTAGTAGCTGTTATTTGTTTCTTTTCTGTCTGGTCTATTGTTGGACTGACAGGTTTTCATACGTATTTAGTAGCAACAAATCAAACAACCAAYGAAGATGTAAGTACAACATACAGTCATTGTCATAGAAACCATGATTTATTGGCAGAGGGGGGTGGGGTGGAATTTCAGGGGGGAGGGATGTGGCTGTAAGCAAATCAGTATAAAAGAAACACGATGAATGGTGATAAAATTACAGTACACATGTACTATCTGGTGTGCCCCAGTGTGGAGGTAAGAGGAGGGCCCAAATTGTTTGATCAATGATTGGGACGTCATCAGCAAATGGTGATTTTATTGAGATGTGGTACTTATCCATTAGTTATATGTWATATGTAGTTATGTTTTGCAATTTCCCAATGCAACTGAACCCTTTTAGAAAATCATTGTTAACAAAAGGCAAATATGATGCCAATCATTGCCTTGAGGAAAAATTGTTTGAATTTTATTTTCTGAGTTWAAGACATTTGAAAATTGAAAATGCTAATGAAGTGACGTCAATCAAGGRATTGGGAGGTTTTTYATTKTTTGYGATATCTTGYRTTCKGTTGAAATGGTCAAATCATCAATAACAATAATATTCAAGAGCTGGTAAAGTCATCTCTGATATAAAAAAAGAGTAATGTATTTTTATCGTGATTTTGAATATTAAATCATTCCTTAGTAGACGTTACTTAATTTGCATTTCCGATTTTCAAATATTTCTAAATCAAAAGCTGATATAAATTTGAATGTTTTTTCCCTTTGCAGAAGTGCTTAGGATAATGTTCTCTTTCGAATGAAATGACTTTCTAGAAGCGTTCAGTTGCACTTTAAAATGTTCACGATTGTACACTCCTGTTTAATTGAAAAATTCCAATGCAGGATTGTTGTTAAAAGATATCCAACTCGTGTTGTTTAGATAAAAGGTTCATTTTCCTCCCGGAGAGGTCAAGATAACTACAAYCCATACAGTGTAGGAAGTTCATGTGGAAATTGTTTAGCAGTCTTATGTGGACCYGTAGAACCCAGGTATGCACTCTTAGTTCATGTTGGAATATAAAGATAGGAATGTAAGGACTGCATGGCACTATGAGATACGTGATATAGAAATAAAGGAAAGAGTTATCGAGCCGATTTCGTATGAGTGGGACACCATTACCGCACGGTTACCGCATAGTTACCGCACCTGGCCTGCACAATTTTGGTGAATCAGTGGGACACTAGAATTTGGTTACAGTACAATTACGGTCACTGTACAGTACCGTCCGTTTCCCACTCATACGAAATCTGCTCTAGTGCTAGGAAGGAGGTTATTCTGGGGGAAAGACCATTGAAAAGAAATTCGGAAAAATTAGTTTCTGAACTCGCTGGGATTTGAACCCACGACCTTCGGATTTGTACTACCGATGCTCTACCAGCTAAGCCTACAATGCCAGACTTGGAGCAGGTGGGGTGATGTTGGAATAGGYAATTTGTATTGGCTATTTTGAAATTCGCAAAGGGACTGCCGCCTAGTCACAAACTCAATGGACCAATCAAGAAACTGGTTCCATAACAAGAAAGCTCATACTGAAATAGCCAACTTGCGAATTACGCATCAATAGTCACATACAAAGGAATCAAGACGAGGCGCCGTGCTTTTTTGTGAAAAATCTATTGTCTTTAGCACGACGCCTCGTCTTGATTCCTTTGTATGTGACTATTGATGCGTAATTCGCAAGTCGGCTATTAGTCTAGCTGCAGGGTTTGAGCGTATTTGGATGAATAATTACAGAGTGATAAGCATTTAAAGAAAAAAATTCATGTTCTCTGTCATTTTTGAATTTGTATTGTATTCAAACCAAAAGGATCAAGCTTCAAAATAACACTTATTTCACTTAAATTCATTGGTCATAATTTATTCAACTTTCAATGATACATTTTCATATTGTTTTGTGTACTTAATTCATTTATTCTGTCAATTTGTAGTTTGATAAACAGAAGGGGCATTATAATACCAGATCCTCCTGAAACTGATAAATATGGTGCCTTGGGTACAACAATAAGTAGTCAGGTACGTTCTGCAGTAATGGGAATTGATGAGATGATTGAACAATGAAGTAATGAGGTAGATGACTTCAGAAAATAATGAAAATGATGACAGTGTCATTGAATGAAAAAAAAGAATAAATGGAAATGCAAGATTTGAATGAACAAAGAATCCGCCAGTATAGAAGACAATGGAAATAGTTTTAAATTTCACAAGTTTTATCAAAATTTCTGAATATTTTACACACAATTGAGGCTAACAAAGGGTTAAAGAGATCGCGAAACTCAACTATTAGGTTTACATTAACAACACTATCATGCATCCTATGTTGTATATTATTTATAACAGTATGTTCCCTAACATTGTTTTTCTGTTTGTATTCAGACTCATGTATCACCAAATGGCGTTAAGGAGACTGTRCACAGATTTGAYAAAAAAATGCCTCCAAAGTTAACGGAAGACTCTGTAACTGACAGCGGTGCTGAACAGGAAGACACTCTCAAACCAGACAGTGAAAAGGGGATTGTCAAACTAAGTAGTGTGTAAAAATTGGGATTCCTGTGGTATAATTTTGACTGGGGTCCTTGTGGGAAGGCTTTGATTGGGATTCCTGTGGTAACAAACCAGGAAACCCCACTCAGTTTGACTGAAAGCAGGMCGTGAGAAATAATTATATAAAATATGTTGTATATGTTTCTGAAACTGTCAACTARTCTATTTTTTGATAGAAATTAAGGGAAGCCATAGTGCTTAGAAAGAGGTTTTTTCTGAGCAAAATACACTTTTCAAAACATCAATGCCAACCATTGAAATATAAAATTAGGTTTTTCTGAATTTAATTACAAAGRTCTTTTGCCTGGAACAACCTCTTAAGGCCTGTTTACACTTGCGACTTTTGAAGCACGATTGTCGCGCAACAATTGCCTGAGTTTCGAACATGCTTGAAATTTAGCTGCAACTTGCGGCAATTTCGATTGCTGCGAAAATCACAGGCTGTTTACAGATTTACAAATTGGCAATTGTCACACGACAATCATGCTGCAAAAATCGCAAGTGTAAATGGGCCTTGACAACACTGTTGATTACTCTCTGTTTCTATTGAATCTTATTTTACTATCTAGTAATATGTCGTGTACATAGAGCAGATCTTATATGATTGTGCAAGAAACATGACACTTTTGTGATGAGAATCTACWGTGCCATGACATATTGATGTGTTCTCATTTGCAATAATTTCCAGGTGAGGTACTGTTTCGTGTCTTGCCTTTCCGCAGTCATACAAAGTSTACTCTATTCTCTGAATTCTTATGTGTACAAATAACACAATTAGGGACACTGAAGCAAGTAGGTCTAATAAATTAGATAATAAATTAAATTCTGTTAGAAATACAGGTAATTCAAGGTATTGTTTTATGGAACAGTCAGTCATACATCAATACAGAACAGTCRTARGGGACATACATTTATTACACAARATACAGTCWACCCCATTTATGTTGTYCCGTTKTAAAGACACAAAGACAACAACAAACTAAGTCATTSGCATTTGTCATACTGTTAATTTCTTTGTAAGTCTATCTGACTTAAAGTTTCTAACTTACAAYGTCAATGACATAAAATTTGCTGTTTATTTGAAGTTTTAAATTTTAAAAAAAWWTTAAAGAAGCTTTTTGTCCAAATGACTTAATTGTTGTTTTTTATGTCTTTTTTGTTGTTGTTAAAACAACTGAACAACATTGATGGAATTGACTGTAATGTCCAGACTCTTAAAAATGTGCTGGGTTGTTCGAAACTCTAAGTGCTAAACCAAAATTTCAACATTGTTTACATCAAGCCAGGGTACTTTGACCAACCCAGTCGTGGTTTCCAATTAATAGTTTCAAGCTGTCCATGGTTCATTTAGGTTGTTTCAAACATACACGTAAAGATTTTCTGAATAGTTCTCAATTTTTTTGTCTTTTTTTTTCTTTTACCTTGACTGTACTAATAAAATCAGTCAAACACAAATACTCATGGAATATGATAAATCCACTATGTAATTATTATTTTGTCAACTCAGTAATGCCAAAGTGATATATATTCAGTACTTTTTAAGTGAAACTATTTTGTATATAATTTAAGTGCCTTTTTGAGTATTCAGTTAATATCTGTCTAACTTTTAAGGTATAAATTTTCATTTTTTTCTAATTTGTTGCAAGATAAATCATTATATGATTGACCTCAGAAGGATGATAACAAGAAAACCCAAATAAATTTACTGATCATTATACAAATAACATTTTGTCTTTTAGCTTTTAGGGACTGTTCATTGTAAGGGTATAGAGTGGTGTCTCGGAAATCGCGAGTATCGCAAAAAATTTCACAGGGCTCGCAAGCTCTGCACTTAAAAGAGAGGGGCTCGGATTTGAAATCGCTTTTGACAAGTTTGCAATTGCCAAAATATCTGACTCATTCAGCCAAAGGCTCGGGCTTGGATTTGAAAACGAGGGGCTCGCACGCTCAGTGAGGCTAAGATTTTACCATTCGATACCCCTCATTGTCTATGGGTGAAAGAGGGAATGGAATGATGATGAAATTGAAAACTTCAGAAAGGGGAGTCTTATTTTAATAGTATTTGGATTTTGAGGACATTTTTTGAAGTCAAGTAGGATTCTCCACTATCGCAACCTCTACACAAAATCGAACATTCTCTAGTGTTATTTTGTAATGCCACAAGTGAAAAAGTTAGCTATTTTTGTATTAATAAGGCCTTTTGCATGAAACGGTCACATGGTACTAAATCCGCCATACTGGATGGCAAAAGAACGTAAACAGCCTCAAAAACAAAAGGAACGCAGCCTGTCAAGCTTGACTTTTCTTTGTTTTGAACATCCCAGGGGTATTTTGTTATCCAGCATGGCAGATTTAGTACCATATAACCATTCCATGAAGAAGGCCTTATTAGTATACATGGCTGTCAATGAAGGCTCTCAAATTTCAACTTTACAAGTTTAATAATATTTTATAAACCACAAATTTCAAAACCTTGCAGTCGAACTCAACACTGGTTAATTAAGCCCATAGCCTCCTTTAGCAGCTGCCTTAGTGTTTTTTTCACACAATATAAAAATTCTCCCTGTGACTAGTAGCACTGCATCATGACATTCTTTCTTAGCTTAAAAGCTACAAGTTATTTTCGTTTTAGCTTAGCTATGTTTAATAGTTTGGCATTGGTATGTCTGGTGTGTAATCCTTCARAAGTGTAAGAAAAACAGCCTGAAACATAAGCAAAAAATAATTTAGAAATTTTTGTCCATGCTAGCACAGATAAACCATATGATAGTTAACTATGGTTATCAAATTCATTGATAATTCATAATGTAACATCAATGGAAAATCATTGCCGTGACCACATCTTTATATGAGCAAGAGATTTGTCCTGATTTGCATATTACGACTTTAACTTCGATTTTCTCTTACAAATGATATTTTATCCTGAAGTTTTTTTGAGTTAATAAACTGTGGCAGCCTAATAGAGATTGACAGGTCAATGGAAGATTGTTGACATAGGTACCACTATATCTATGTATTTCCTCATGCAGACTCATAGTACCATGACTATTGGTCTACTTTATTTGCTCCTCTCATTATATAAACTACTTAACCTAGTTAACGTCCGAAATGTCAGTAAGTTGCTTCACTTTTTTACAGTGTTAAATTTATTTTTTTACCCAATTGTTTCAATCTTTAGAAACAGATGCAGCTCACACTAGTTTACTGCTAGTTTCCACCATTCTTACCATGACTGTCCACTTGCGATTTTCAGCCTCTGCCCAGACAAGTGACTTATCAGAATAAAACACTTCATCATCAACTTCTTCATTGTGGCGTGGAAGACAGTGAAGAAAGCAAGCATCACTTTTAGCAAGCTCCATCAGCTATAAAAAAAAAACATTTTTAAAGATTTAATTAGAATGGTAAAATCTTTAAAAAAAATACCAAGCCAAACAATTGTACTAAAGCAATGATTATGGCAAAATTGCAGCTGGGATTAATAATGGAAATTAGATAAGTATTAAGCTTTTAGCAGTGATGAAGTTCTATGCGGACTATAAAGTCTGAATAATTTTTATATTTTATTGAAGTGAGAGCCAAAAAGTATTAACTAATTATATTTACCTATGGCACTCGTACCCAAAAAGGTGGTGAACAACACCATGGGTTAAGCATAATTATTAGACACAATAGATGTATTCAAAGATTCAATTATTGAGTCAAAGGGGAAGTGATGCCCACTTTCTGAGCTTGCCTGGGACTGTTACAAATCCTAGCAGAAACATTGAGATCAAAGAGCAAACGTGTCTGATTCAATTATCTATTGTGAAACATTTTTTTGAAACACTGATATTAAAGCAAGGTTTCAAGAGTGAAACTTCACTATTAGTACATTGAGCAAGAGATTTACCTTTTTGTTGACTTGGTAGCCTTTAAAGTCGTTGAGTCTCTGTGCAGATTCTTGTTCTTGACCCATACTTATCCAAGTATCAGTAACCACAACATTKGCATCTTTACATGCCTCCCTTGGGTCATTTGTATACTCAATGGTGGTTCCAAACTACGATTGATATGATCAGAAAAGGAAATCTTTATTAATAGCCAGATATGCAGTGCGACACACACATGGATGTTACAATCATCTGGTATCCCATAAACCATTGCAGTGGTAGTCAGGCATTAATAGCCTCTCAAAGTGCTACTTGCACTTGCATGAAAATGGCCATTTTCAAAACTTCAAGCAATACAAATATATGACTCATTTATATTTATTAAAAACAATTGCAGGAATTCTTTTTTTTTAATTATCCCACATCAGAGAAATTTTGATTCAAAAGATGGAAGAACAAAAGGATGGAGTAAATGACGTCATCTACTCCAACATTTTTTGCCCAAATCGTTATGGATTTGTATCAATATCTTCTTGAAATCTGTTGCTTCATGATTATTAGACCCATATGGATAGGTCTATTTGATTTCCAAGTCTTTTCTAATGTTTCGCAATTTTCGTGCAAGTATAGCCCTTTAAGTTTGGGGCTGGAAGAACCCTCACTGGCA